ATGTGTAACGTATGAAATTGATACGTTATTGTAGGCGACAATTTTTCACAACTAATTGAAGTATGTTGCCAAATGTAATCAAAGCGGAACATGTCTATATAATTATTCAAATAAATTGTCAAAGAATAAATCGATCGATGTAATTACATCGATGTAATGCATATTTATAATCATGTTTATCAATTTATTCCGCAATTTAGATAATTTATTTTGATACAACATAGTGTAATGTTATACAAACTCGGATGTATTTGTAACTCTTATTCTTGCTGGTATTATAAATAAAATGACATAAGATGCTGATAAATATAATTGTTTATTCGCTTACCTCATATATTAAATTTATGATATTTGTTGATATTGAAAAAAATATTAATGTAAAAAGTTATGTATTAATAGTAATCTTAAAAAACTTACCATCTTTCATTAGACTAATATTTAATTCTCAATTCTTATAGGAGCAATCGATTGTAAATTTTTTATTCTATTCTACTAACTTGTAACAGTAGTTTACAAAATGAATAATATTTATATCACACATCTCTCTTCATATATCACATTATAGATTAATAGGCAAAAACAACGGTGCAAACTTCTTAACGCAACGAAAGAGTTATTAATGGGGATATTATCCCAACTGTAAAAAAGGATCCAAGTAAAAAAGGAATATTCTTAATTTAAATTCAACATGGAATGTGAAGCAGAGAAGCAGAAAAGATAGAGTGGGGTGTTTAATCACCCTAATCCATAAAGCGTGAAATAGCTATTAATGATCCTTTCATTACTTTGAGTTCTGATTTATCGCTTATCTGATTTAGCAAAGATCAAAGAAAAAAAACAACCACTTTAGACCGGATATGCTTGATCTTTAGAAATTTACGTTGATCTATTCGCATAGAAACGTTAAGTTCAATCTTATTAATTTAGCAAAATATATTTTAGTGTATCTCATAGATCTCCTTCGAAAACTTTGAATTAAATCTTTTGGTACGATAATTTTTATGTGATAAACCATCATTTTGCAACTTTTCTTAACAACCCTTTAACATGAAATATCATGATAATTAGATTAAAACTCGATTCAAGGAAAATTCACTTGAAATTGATTAAAGAATAGAATGCTATTACTC